TATACAAAATTATTTCATAAAATAGCTATTAAATTATGCATTAATTGACAATAAATATTAATGCATAATTCACAAATAAATAAATTTGCCTACGCTGTGCTGACATAATTATAGGCCAACATATTACACACTTTCTTCAGTGCATTGACCAACAAGAAAAGCTGATAATGCAAAATTGCACTTTTCGTTGGTCAATGACTGGTCGCAGTGTTGGCCCAAATAATATGTAAACACATGTAACCAAATATCATAACAAAAAAACAAAAATATAAAATAATATTAATTAAATGCAAACATAAACAGCAGTCTTGGCTATTTGTGGATAAATACGATTAGTCATCGTTTCTAATTTGACAGGCACGAGTTCTAAGCCTGGCACTTGCAGTCCAAACAAATTATATAAGGACTATAAACTAATTAAATAAAATTCGATTATTTCCAAAGACCACTGATGAAGAGTACTTGGCAATACTCGAAACAGCGTTGTATGGTCATCCAAATTTCAATAAATTAAAAATAAAAAATTTTGTCTTTGTCCTTTCTTTGCTATTCGAATCGGTCTAACTTTTAAATAGTTTCTTTCGTCATAAAAAGACACGCCATTATCGGCAAGAAAAAATTAACCTTAAGAATATATATTTTTTTTTTTAAAAAAAAGGACTTAGCTTATCTGATATGTTGAATTTATCATTTTTCCATCAAAAAGGTGTAATTAAAAATAAAATAAAAAAAATGAACTAGTAAATTAACACAATTTATACATATGTCTATAACTCAATTAGTTATACAAAAGAAACTATATAATATAATATATATTTAATATATAAAGAGAGAGAGAAGAAAATTACTGATTCGCCGGTACTATATGCCAGGAGCGACGTTGTTGTAACTGTGGCAGCTGCTGCTGTTGATCACAATTTTGTCAGCATTTGCGTTATGACCAATTTTAGCGCTATTGCGACTGCTGTAGCTTATGGTATTATGTTGATTAGCTAGTGTCTGAATTGTTGTTGCTGCTGATAATGTTGCTGGCGCAGTTGCGTTATGCTTAAAAAAAACTCCTGCTTAGGTGTTTTAATCAAAAAGTAAAATCACGAACGTAACACCCAGTTTGCAATCACCAACTAAACAAATATTTAAGTTTTCTTTTAATAAATGGGGTTTTTTTTCCGTTATTGTGTATTTCAGTTAATAACTTTCTTCTTTTAGGCGTTAGTTGTTTAGTTCTATGAATATTTTTTTTCTTTTACTTTTTAATTTATTTTATTAGTTTATGTTGTAGTTCACATGTAATTCTTGTACGTAAACTTAACTTTTGCCCACTTTCTATGAGAATTATTATGTATTTTTAATTTGCTCGTTGTTTTTTTTTGTGGTTTTACCGATTTACTATATTCAATGATAAATGTTCAAATTACTGCACAAAATAGATATCACTTATTTCATGTATATTTAATAGTGCACGTACAAGGAAAATTTTATTCTTTTATATTGTTGGTAGTTTACTGAAGTTTAAAGTTAATCAAGTTCCATGAATTGCAATTTCAAATGGCAAAAAAAAACTTATATCAAAAGAAAACTTCGTCACGCGTTTGTACAATGCGATCAAAAAACTAACCCAAATAAGAAAGAACCTCTTCCGACTGCTCCTTTTATTTCATTTTTTTATAACTGCTTAAATCAATTAGCCGTATAACTTTACATTTAGCTGTTTTGCGGTCAATGAACTCAATCTTTCCCGTACCAGATGTTCGGTTGTTTTACTTCCAGACTTCCGAAAGCTTTCAATTACTTTGCTGTCGATTCTTCTTTTCTCTCACCTTGTGATGTTTACGCTGCACACTCAGCTTTTTCTATTTTCTGCTGCAATTTTTGTCAAAACAAATTAAAATGACATTTCTCACGTTGCTATTTTTTTTGTTTTGATTTTTTTCCCATAAATGTGTTTGGGTGCTAGTGTTTTTTTTTAAATTTTTTTATTATTAAAATTCATTTAAACTAAAGTGGTACGGATAAACTGAGAAGGTATGTTAATTTTATTATTCTATAAATTTCTTTATCTTGATATAGTTCCACTTTACTAATAATTTCAGCTTATATGCAGCATCTTATTCCACTCTTATTCAACTCCACTGAGATTATTAATGTGGACCAGCCGTAAGGATTCGAGGTAATATTTATGAAATATTTCACATTCAGTACTTTTAATTACTTACTTATTCTAGGTCCTCAACGCTGTAAGATCAATTTTATTTTTACGGCAAAAAAAGGTTTAATCATTTGTAGTGATAGGTCTAAAAACTTCGTTTAAATAAATAAAACAAGTTAAACATTTGAATTACGATTTAAGACTGTTTATTTAAATAAATTATATTTACATAGGTACTTGTAGAGGAACAGCGTGCATTAGCATATCGTGAAAATTTGCTGAATTGGCATCTTCACACGCCAGCCCAAAATACCATCGTCAAAGGGACGGTAGGGGCTCATATTGCAAAAATGCAATAAATTTATAATAAATATCAGCATGCTTATTTACTCACATAGTATACGCTTATGCACGCTACACCTGCAGTTTTAAAAGAATAATGTAATAAAATTTTACATAAAATTTTATGTAATTATTAGTAATTAGTAATTATATAGCTTATGTTTAACAATTTATTTAATTTAATTACAAATATATTATTATATAATACTATTACAAATATAGTATATATATATATATTTATATTTATATATTCATTAATTTATGTATATATATATAACATATTGTTTTGATTTTTTTAATCAATATAAGGTTTTAACCTATTTTTGTGGACTTTTTGTGCTTTACTTGTGCTATCTACTATAACTATATTATAACCTATTTCTATATCTTTAACTAAATATGGACCCATATATTTATTTTCTTATTTATGAGCTATTTCGTTTTTAATAAAACTTTATCTCCTATTACTAATTAAAAATTATGTAAATTATTATCATACCTAAGTTTATTTTTTAATTTTGATATATTGAGCATTTTTCTTGCTCTTTTATAAGCTACTTTTAATCTGTATTTGCTTTCTTTAGCATAATCTTCTATATTGTATTACGGTTCTATATTACCACTATCAAAATCATAGAATTTCCTTGGAATACGTTCATACAGGAGTTCGTAAGAACAGTATCCATGTGCTAACAATGGTGTTGTGTTAAAGCAATATGTGAAGTACTTAATCCAAACATCCTAATCATCTCTATTGACTGAGATGTAAGATCTTATATATTCGTTAAACGGGCGGTGACTGCATTCTACAGTACCTAGCGTTTGATGATGGTTGGCTGTTGATGTAATATTCTTGATATAGAGATATTTACATAGGTCGTTCTTAATTTGGTTTTTGTACTCTGTACCCATGTCAGTTATAAACCGTTTCATGGGTCCGTACTGTAGGATGAAATTTTCGAAAATTGCGTTTGCTATAGTCTTGGCACTTTTATTTGGAACTAGAATAGTTACCAAATATTTTGTTAGATCACATATTAACGTAATTGCATACTCATTGCCGTTCTCCGTTTTTGGGAGTGGACCAATGGTATCTACTCACACAGTGTCAAATGGAGACATAGGTGTTTGTACTTCCGTTAAAGGCATTTTTGTATGTCTAGTTGTCTTGGCCAGTTGACAATTCAGACATTTTTTTACGTATTTTGTAATGGTTTTTGTCATATTTTTCCAGTAGAATCTTTGTTTTATTTTAGTCAACACTTTTCACTTTTTTTTTAAAGATATTGTTGTTGTAGGTGTACACACAAATTTATTTTATTTCTTGTTGCTGTTTTAAATGAAAATTTAATATCTTGTTTATTTAATGTAAATTAAACTTGTTGCATATTGATTTGTGATTATTGTTGTTTTAAAGATTAATACAATATTTTACAATAGTTTTAGTTGTTGTTATCTATTTCTTTATTATATTTACACTTTGTCTATTTAATTTATTTGTTCCTAATTGTTCTTTAATTTATACATGTCACGTTCGAAATGTAGTGATAGGTCTGAGGCCTATGGCGACCGTCCTGTCACGGTCAACATGTAGTGATAGGTCTGAAAACTCCGTTTAAGTAAATTAAACAAGTTGAACATTTGAGTTACGATTTAAGACTGTTTATTAAAATGAATTATATTTACATAGGTAATTGTGGAGGAACAGCGTGCATTAGCATATTGTGAAAATTTGCTGAATTGGCATCTTCACACGCCAGCTCAAAATACCATCGTCAAAGGGACGGTAGGGGCTCATATTGCAAAAATGAAATAAAAGTATAATAAATATAAGTATGCTTATTTACTTACATAGTATATGCTTATGCACGCTACACATTATGGTACATTGCACCCATACTTCCAATGCAAACTAAATCTTGTTATGGGGGTTGACATTGTATTCCAATATTGTATTCACATTTTTTCCCATACTGCCTTCGTACTCTTCACGATTAAAATCTTCGTGATCGTAGTCAAGTTGATATCGCTGATGTGTGCTGTTTTCTGGTTTTAGTGATCTTGTCTTCTACTATTACAATTACTGGCGATTGAAAACATTTCACCTTGTATGGCCCACTGAATTTTGGACTTAGTTTCATGGCAATGTGATCAACCGCTTTAGACAATGTATGGTTCCTTACTAGGACTTGATCCCCTATTTGCGGTATCTAGTCCCTATGACGGAGATTATAATGCCTTGCTTGTTCGATAGAAGCGTACTGCATATTTTGCCTTACCACTTCCATGATTCCTTGTAATTTCTGGGTGTTGGCAACCCTGCCAAGGATGACAGATGACATATAAAGAAGAATTAACATTTTAGTTTTGTTCAGTTTTTCAACTTGTGAAATAATAATAACTAGGAGTTTTTTGTATAAATAAATATCGAAATTATACAGATATAACAGTGGCGACGAGGATATTTTTTTTTGCATTACATTGAAAAACATATGTACACAAAAAAAAAATGAATCCACAAGAATTCCAGTTATTTTTCCAAGAAATGCAAAACCAACGTGCGAAAGACACGGAAGCAATGCGTGAACTTTTCAAGGAGTGTTTGCAAATGAAAATGCATACTGAAGCAGTTCCGAAAACAGAAAAACCGGAGCAAACAATGGAGATTTTAGCATCGAGTCTTACGGAATTTGTTTATGATCCAGAAAATAACTTAACATTTGAAACGTGGTATACGAGGTATGAAGATTTGTTTTTAGTAGATGGTAGCAAACTTGATGACGCAGCGAAGGTCAGGCTTCTATTAAGGAAACTCAGTACAACTGTACATAATAAATATATGGACTTTATTTTGCCTAAGCATCCACGTGAATATAATTTCACTACAACAGTGGAGAAATTGAAACAATTGTTTGGACTTCAAAAGTCGCAATTCAGCTTACGCTATAGCTGCTTACAGCTAACCAAACCACCAGATACCGACTATACTACGTACGCAGCCGAGGTTAATAAACACTGTGAAAATTTTAAATTGAATAGCCTATCATTGGACCAGTTCAAATGTTTAATATTCGTATTGGGGCTGAAATCGGAAGCAGACTTCGAAATAAGAACCCGAATATTGACCAAACTGGACACAGAAGCTAATATCATCAACTTGGAAAAACTTACAAACGAGTGTCAGCGTATTATTAATTTAAAATCCGACACAGCGCTGGTAGAAAATAAATCACGCGAAAATCAGGTGAATCGAGTACAAGCAAATAAGCTTAAGAACAATCACAAACCGAAAACACCATGCTGGTTTTGTGGAGCAATGCATTATGTGCGTGACTGCCCATACAAAAATTATAAATGCGAAGACTGTCACAACATAGGCCATAAAAAAGGTTATTGCAAAGCGAAAAATTCATCAAAATCAAAATACAATAACAACAACAAAAATAATAGCAATGGTAAAGCAAAAACATTTTCACAGCCACGATCCAACAGTATATACACAACGAACAGCATCACAGCTTCACAGCGTAAATATGTCCATGTTAAAATCAACAATGTGCGAATCAAATTGCAATTTGATACTGCATCGGACATAACTATCATTTCAAAATTTAATTTCGACAAATTAAATATTTTAAATACAATGGAAGTACAACCAGAATCTGCTAAAAGTGCAACTGGAAACTTACCATTGTACGCAAAATTTACATGTGATGTGCAGTTAAAAGACACAATTAGAACACTTACGTACTTCGTTACAACGATCGATTTGAACGTATTCGGATTGGACTGGATAACTGCTTTTCAACTTAGCGATATGACGCTTAATGCTATTTGCAGCCAAATTTCAACAACAAAACAGGCAAGTAATGTTTCAATAAAGTCGTCAAATTGCAAATTTCTTCCGGAAAAATTATTTCCATAACTTTTCGAGAATGCTATGGGTCTTTGTAATAAAACTAAGGCACATTTATGTATTAAACCAAACTGTCAATCTGTTTTTCGACCTAAGCGCCCAGTAGCATACGCAGTTCAACATTTGGTTGAAGAAGAAATTAAGCGACTTCAAGATCTCGACATTATCGCACCCATCAATTACTCTGACTGGGCCGCATCAATCGTAGTTATCAAAAAGCCAAATGGTAGCATTCGTATTTGCGCTGATTTCTCAACTGGTCTTAACGACGCGCTTGAATCTTACAAGTATCCACTACCGCTTCCAGAGGATATTTTTGCAAAAATTAGCAATGCAACAGTATTTAGTCATATAGACCTTTCGGACGCTTTTCTCCAAATCGAAGTTGATAGCAAATCGCAAGAACTTCTCGCAATAAACACGCATCTAGGTTTATTCAAATACAAGCGTATGGTTTTTGGCGTCAAAACTTTTTCGGCAATTTTCCAACAAATTATGGATAAAATGCTTGCGGGCTTACATTACGCAGCTGCTTACATTGACGATATCTTTGTCTCAGGTAGAAACCAACAAGAGCATGACAACAACTTACAGGAAGTTCTACAACGTATTTATCAATAAGGGTTTAAACTCAAGATCGCAAAATGCAATTTTTCAGTTCCTGAAATTGCTTACTTGGGATATATTGTTAGTAAAGACGGCATTCGCCCAGATCCAAGAAACATTGAAGCAATCAAGACAATGCCTGCGCCAACCAATCAATCCGAACTTAGATCACTCTTAGGTGCTATAAATTTTTATGGAAAATTCATAAATCACATGCGCAAATACCAAGGACCATTAGACGAACTACTTCAAAACAACAAGCAGTGGCAATGGACGGAACTTCATCAACGCTGTTTAAATGGTTTCAAGCAAATTTTGTCATCAGAGTTATTATTAGCGCATTACGATCCACTGAAAAACATAGTAGTCGCTGCAGATGCATCTAACTATGGGCTTGGAGCTTGCATTTTTCATGAATCTGACGACGGTTCAATGAAAGTAATATGTCATGCGTCCAGATCACTAACGCCCACAGAAAAACAATATAGCCAAATAGAAAAAGAAGCTCTTGCGCTTATCTTCGCGGTTACGAAATTTCATAGAATGGTTTTTGGGAGAAGATTCAAACTTCAAACAGACCATAAGCCTCTTCTAGCTATATTTGGTGACAAAACTGGAATTAAGGTCCATCAAGCAAATAGACTTCAACGTTGGGCAATTAAATTGATTGCATACGACTTCGAATTAAAGTTTATTTCAACTAACAGTTTTGGGTATGCAGACGTTTTATTACGACTCATACATAACACAATCAATCCTTCAGAAGACTATGTCATCGCTGCAGTAGAGTTTGAAATTGAAAGCAAACAAATTTTACATAACTCACTTGATAAGCTGCCGCTTACCAGCAAAATGTTTACTTACGAAACAGCTAAGGACAAGGTTTTAGCTAAAATTTTCGAATATGTAACTGAAGGATGGCCATCAAACTGCAACAACAGTGAGTTAAAAGCTTACTTTAACCAAAAAAACGACATATGTATAGTTGACGGATGTTTAATGTTCGGACAACGCATTATTATATCTCAAATTTTCCGAAAGCGCATTCTTAAAGAAATTCACCGAGGTCATAAAGGCATAGGTCGTACTAAAGCCATCGCGCGGAACTACGTTTATTGGTCAAATATCGATTTCGATATTGAAGCAATGGTGAAAAGTTGTTCAAATGTGCCGCAGCTAAAATGCCCACGAAAACAACTTTACATCCTTGGCCAAAACCTTCTGATTCTTGGGAACGGCTCCATATTGATTATGCAGGACCAATAGATTCATACTTCTTTTTGGTCGTAATCGATGCGTTCTCAAAATGGCCAGAAATTCCAGAAATGGCAACAATTTCCAGCTTGAAAGAAATTTTCGCTAGATTTGGGTTACCGAAGACAATAGTTTCAGACAATGGTACTCAATTTGTGAGTCATCAATTCCAACAGTTTTTAGCGGAAAACGGCATAAATCATATACGAAGCAGTCCGTATTATCCCATGTCAAATATACAAGGCGAAAGGTTTGTTGATACTTTAAAGCGAGCGCTCAAAAAGTTAAATGGGAAGGGGGTAACTGCTGCAAATCTTCAAATATTTCTATAAGTTTACCGATCAACTCCGAATAAGCAAAATGAGAACAGTAAATCGCCAGCTGAAGTTTTACTAAAAAGAAATATCCGTAGTAAACTTAACTTGATTAAAGATATCGCCAACGAAAAGTGTTTAGTTGATGCATTTGGCCTCTACGAAACAACACCTAAAGATGTGGTTGAAATAACTAACAAAAACATGGTTGCGACTCCAGCTCAATCTTTCAATGAGATTGCAATTCCTCAAACTGAGAAGCACAATGAGACAGTTGTTCCGTATACCCGACCAAGGCGTACTAGACATCCTATTGACCGTTATAGACCCTAGAATCACCGCATTGGAGATTCAATCTCAAAAGGGGAGGTGTTGGCAACCCTGCCAAGGATGACAGATGACATATAAAGAAGAATTAACATTTTAGTTTTGTTCAGTTTTTCAACTTGTGAAATAATAATAACTAGGAGTTTTTTGTATAAATAAATATCGAAATTATACAGATATAACACTGGGCTTTCTCCGTAGGAGTGATTGGTACGTCTCCGGTGCCTGGAGTGACCTTGTCAAATTGATTAGCTGGCATACGTGGTTTTCGACCGAAATTCAGAAACGTTGATGAGAACCCCGTGGATTCGGCTACACTTGAGTTCATTGCTAGTGTAATTTCTGGCAAATATACGTCCCAATTCCTGTGGTCACCTTCCGTGAGTAGACTGATAAGAGTTTTTACGGTCCTATTAGTCCTCTCTGGGGGGTTTTCATATGGGGCGTACGGAGCGGTAAATTGTTGTTATACACAAATCGGAGAAAAAAGTTCCAGTAGCCAGGCTAGTAAAGTGGGTGCCATTACCTGATACAAAAACTTTTGGTACTTCGAAGCGCGCAAGGATACGTTCTCCGAAAGCCTTTTGTTCAAACCCACTTTGTGAACTTATCCACAAAGACCAGAAGCATGCTGTTTCCTTGTTTGGACTAGTGCTGTTCACATTATTCGACGTTTTTGAAAAACCGAAGTTCTTCGATTATTCGAATATTCGCATTTCAACAAAGTCTTTGAAGTTGGAAAAAACTTCGAAGTTTTTGTAAATTTTTGTTCTCGAAGTCTTCGAAGTTTAAGTGTAGTGAAAAACTTCGAAGACTTCGTAAGCAAAAGGTGAAGCGAGAGCGCAAAATGCAAACAAACGTGCGTCACACAAATTATTTGAGGGATGAAAGCATTTGCTTTATTTGTACGGTTTTATGTTTTTTTTTGGTATTTTATGCAGAAATTAAAAATATGTTTTTTTGTTTTGTTAACACATAAAATATATTTTATGATTAAAAATGTATTATTATATATATTATTAAATATTATATATATGAAATAAAAAATTTACCTTTTATATAACTTATATTTATAATTTATATTAAAAGAATATAAAATACATATGTAAGAATATGAAAATATTGATATTGATGGATTTTATTAGTAAAGGAAATTTTATAAAAGTTTTAATTTTTCTTTTAAAAAAAAATCACAAATTAAAACCTTGAAAATTAGTTATGAAAAAATGAGTTTTGTTCATTAATGCATAATTATTTGACATGTATGAGCTGTGATGATCACACAGGTGTGATGATCACAAATTTATTTTTTGCATAATAAAAAAATAATTTTTGATTTTTTTATTGTAATTACAGTTATTTTACGGTTTATGTAAAACTTTTAAATCCTTATTTCTAAGAAAAGAAATATATAATATTATAAGGAACTATCTAAATAAAATGTAAATTAGTACATTAGCACAATTGTATAAAAGAAATTCCATTAAAATTTCATGTATTTTATATTATATTAAAAATTTTCATAAATATAAAGAATAAATATAAGTTATTTAAAATGTAAATTTTTTATTTAATATAAAAAATATTTAATAATGACATATATAATAATAATATATATTATATTATAATAATATAAATCTTCGAAGTTTAAGTGCAGTGAGAACAAAAATTCACAAAAACTTCGAAGTTTTTTCCAACTTCGAAGATTTCGTTTACTATTCGAATATTCGAATTCTTCGAATACTTCGTAAATTCGAATATGAACAGCACTAGTTTGGACCGTGACAGTGGTCCAACAAAGTCCGCGGAAATGGTAGACCATGTTCTTCTGCTAATCGTGTTAGCATGAGTCTGGCAGCAGCCTGTTGGTTCGGTTTAAATCTCTGGTACGAATCGCAACCTCTCACATATTTACTAATATCGCGAAACATACCTGGCCAAAAATACAGTTTTGATACTCTTTGCTTTGTTTCCCTACTCCGAAATGTCCTGCTGCCGGTACGTTGTGATTCTCCCGTAATATCTGTTGTTTCAGAACTGTTGGCACACATAATTCCCATGGTTTATTATCCTCATCCTGATCATAACTGGGTATATGCCTATACAACTAATCATTTTCTATGGTGTAGTCTGCGAATTTCTTGGGGTACAATTTAACCTCCTCTTTTCGTTTGTGAACCCAGTCTTGTTCCCCACACACGCCGTCACTGGTTTTTATTCTTCTAACTGAGGCTGCCATTTTTTCCGGTTGACGCGATAATGCATTCGCCACCACGTTGCATTTACCTTTCCGGTATTGTACTTCAAAATTATACTGTTGTAACTCCAGAGCCCAGCGTGCGATTTGACTAGATGGATTATCGATTGAGTTTAACCACTTTAATGACAAATGATCCGTTATCACAGTGAATCTGTATTCTTCTAAATACGGCCGTATTTTACGGATAACCCAAATGATAGCTAAACACTCTTTTTCAGTAGGGGAATAATTTGATTCGGCATTTTCTAGTCGTCGACTAGCATAGGCAATCACCTTTTCTCCGTCCTCAAATTGTTGCGTGAGGATTGCACCAAGACCACAAACACTGGCGTCTGTCTGCAAACAAAAGGGTTTGTTAAAATCAGGGCACTGTAGTACTGGGGTTTCCGCAACTACTTCTTTAAGTTCTCGAACGCGGTTTGTTGTTCTGTGTGCCATTTCCAATATTTTCCTTTCCGGAGGAGTTAAGTTAGACGGTGAACGATTGTTGAAAAATCTTTCACAAACCGTCGGTACCATGACGTCATTCCTAAAAATCGTCCTCATTCCCTTACAGTCGTTGAAGATTTTAGATTTTGTACAGCTGAAACTTCCTCTGGGTCGGTATGAACACCTTTATCACTAACAAAGTGTTCAAGATACTTCAAGGTTGACTTGAAAAACTCGCATTTCTCTGCATTTATTCTCAAATGGGCTCCTCGTAGTCGTTTGAACACAATTCCGAGATGTTGGAAATGTTCGTCATGATTACGACTTATGACGATAATATCATCTAAGTATGCGAATGCAAAGGGCTACATTTCTGGTCCAATAACTGAATCCAATGCGCGCTGAAACGTAGCAGGGACGGAATGTAACCCAAATGGCATTACTTTCCACTGAAACAGACCCCGTCCCGGTATAGTGAACGCTGTCAATGGTTTTCTGTCCGGATGCATCGGTACCTGCCAATACCCATTCTTCAAGTCCAAACCACTTATAACTTTAGCGTCATGAAGCCGATACAAAATATGATTTATGCGAGGAAGTGGATATGCGTCTGGTTTCGATTTTGCATTTAGTTGACGATAATCCACACATAATCTCCATTTGTTGTTTTTTGTTTTTTACCAACACTATTGGCGCACTATATGCACTTTTCGATGGTTTAATGCATCCATTTTCCAGTAGTTCGTCGATCTCTTTATTAATTATAGCTTGCATTGCTGAATTACGAGGATAGTAACGCTGTTTAATGGGTTGAACATCAATCATGGAAATACGATGATGAGTCAGATTACATACTCCTTCTAAAATGTTGAATTTATCCACTTCTCGTTCCAGAAAAACTTTAACATCATTCAGGCCCGCATTTGACTAAATCCTTTGGTCTTTCCCTTCCGTCACCTTATTCATTTGTTTATTATGGTCGTCCTGAATAGTGGTAATATTATTTAAGACGCTATCATCCCATATTTCACATGTCGGTTCTGGCTGGCCTCCCTCGATTGTATCCTCAATAGACTCTTTATCTATTGATTTTTTGGCGTTACTTATTGAAAAATGTAGAATTTTATTGGACCTACAGCGACCATTTAGGTTTTGAAATTTAGTTACTGAACCACCGCACTTTAGTGTGGCTCCTATGGCTTGTAAACAATCGATGCCCAGTATGATGTCATTGCTGGTGCTCTCCATAATTAGAAAAGATAGTTTTTTTTTTTTTTTTTTTTTTTTTTTTTATTGCTACAAGTATTTACATTATAAATAACGAGTAGCTTGAATCTGATAAATACTATACATACATAAATAAGCAATTTATTTTCTACACAAATTACTTTACATTCTAATTCAATGCCATATCAGCGACATTTCGCCGTTTTAATCGTCTCTGTTGTCCATACGAAGTTATGATGTTAACAGCTTCTATGTTGACATGTTGCTGCAACCTCAGTTTGTGTCTTGTTGCTTTCTGTTTTATTTCTTCAGCGACTGTGGACAATTTTAGATCGCGATGTATATCGCTGTTCCTAATGTACCATGGCGCATTTAAAATGTTCCGTAGAACCTTGTTCTGGAAACGTTGGATTATTTCGACGTTACTTTGGCTAGCGCTCCCCCATAGTTCAGCGCCATACGACCATACAGGTTTTAAAATTTGATTATATAGCAGAATCTTGTTTTGCATAGATACTGTGGATTTGCGGCCAATCAGCCATTCCATTTTTCGCAACTTCATGTCAAGCTCGTCCCGTTTCTTTTTTATGTGTTCTTTCCACCGAAGTTTTGCGTCCAACGTTATACCAAGATATTTTGCAGTATTGGCATATGGTATTTGAGTACCTTGAATCGAAATAGGAAGATACTGTATTTTTTTATTTGTAAAATCCACATGAACAGATTTAGCAGAATTCAGTTTGATACGCCATCTTTTTGTCCAATTGTCTAACGAATTTGTAGCTGTTTGTAATTTGGCTATTGATTCTTCAACGGAGTCAGCAATCGCCAAAATAGCAGTATCATCTGCAAATGTTGCAATTTTATTTTCAGGTGTTATTGGCAAGTCCATTGTGTAAAGCAGGTACAGTAGTGGACTGAGTACACTGCCCTGAGGTACACCAGCTTTTATCGCAGAAAGATTTGAATAGCAGTTTTCGTGTTTTACATAAAAGAACCTCGAGGTAATGTAAGACTTCAAAATCGCAAAATATGACGACGGCAAACATGTTTCTAGTTTATTCAAAAGACCTTTGTGCCAGACTTTGTC